CATTGGATAGCTACTCTGATGGTTAAACCTAAGGGACTGCGATCGTAGTTGAATGAAATTGGAATACGCAATGACTTCAATCTAAGATACAATCAAAATAAGGCCTTTAAAAGATGATAAGAGGAGCATCGCTCAAATCTATCTTTATCGCAATGCAGGAAGATTTCTTCGTTCCAACAGGCGATTTTGATAATATTAAAATGTACTGTAAAGATATTTCTTCGTCTTTAGAGAACAATTTTAATATTATGAACTGCAGTTTACTTTAACAATTAACAGTGACTAAATGTTAGACAAATAGAGGCTGTTAAAATACCAATCTGGTGGCTTTTAACCATCCAATCCAAAAGAGTGAGTTCGTGCTGCGACTTGTCTCACTCTAAGCGCGCATAATATAAAAACACAAATAAATTTATACTGTTTGCTCACAAACCAAGTTTGAATGTGCCCACGTTTCTCCTCCATTATCTGTAGTAAATCAGCTCAAAAGGGAAATATTTATGACTAATTATAACTGGTTACGATTAATAATAAATATTTAGATTAGATCTTCGAATTAACTATAGCAGAATCAATATCACCATTACTTGATCTGTCTGTCCACCGAGCAGACAAAATAATAATTTAAACACACATTTAAATAGTTGTAAACGGTTACTTGCACTGGCTTCGATTGCTGAACAAGAGTTCTGATGTGGTAGACAACGGAGGGCTTTGATGAGTTCGTTAGGAGTGAGCTGGAAGTTTACTTCTGGTTCTTCTGAAGAAGGAGTCACTAAGAGATGTCCAGGACAAGTTTTCAATGCATCTTTCACCTCTCAAGCCAGAGGAGTCAGGATTCTTATACATAAGTCCGTTCCATTTCAGCTAAAACAGCAATATATCGACCCGTTAGGGAGATACATAATTCTTAATGGTACAATTTTGACATCACATATTAATTTAATAAGCATATACGCTCCTAATGTAGATGACCTGTCCTTTTTTCAGAATTTCTTTTTCACTATATTAGCATATCCTGGAAATTATGTAATTAGAGGAGATTTTAATTGTGTACTAAACCCAGAGTATGATCGTTCTTCAGGAGTAGATAGTACCCATCAACAGTCCAAAAAACTTATTTTGAAGTATATATGACTGATTTAAATTTAGTTGAGATTTGGAGGTATCTCAACCCAAGCAAGAAAGAATATTCATGCTTTTCAAATACGTATAAAACATTTTCAAGAATAGATTATTTTTTAATTTCCAATGGTTTGATGGCGAAGGTAGGTAAAAGTTGGTATGATAGTATCCTATTGTCAGATCATGCCCCTATTACGTTTACAATCCAAATAGATAATCTTGTACTCCCCCCTCCCAGATTTCGATTACAAGCAAGTTGGCTTCTTGATCATGATTTTGTAAAATGTCTAGATAATAAAATAGACCTATACTTTTTAGTCAATACAAATCAGACAAGTGCCTCAGTTAAATGGGAGGCCTTCAAGGCATATATTAGAGGGGAGATATTAAGTTATACAAGATACAGATCCAAAATTTATCGGGCACAATTAGAAAACTTGGGGAAACAAATTAAAATACTGGAACAGCATCTGTTTAGCAATAATGACCCTGCAAAGCAGAAATAACTTATTTTACTAAAAGTCAAATATAATGAAATAACTAGTAGTAAAATATCTAAGAATTTAATGTGGCTAAAACAGTCCTATTATGATCAGGGGGAAAAATCAGGAAAACTGCTAGCGTGGAGAACTAAAAAAATACAAACAGATAGAGCCATCAATTCAATTGTCTTAGAGAATGGGGAGAAAACTGTAGATCCATTGGAAATAAATAATATTTTAAAATTAATTTTTATAATTATTATGAAAATTTGTATAAATTGGAAAACACCAACAATTTAGAGGGGCAAAATAATTTTCTTGATTAAATTCAATTTCCAAAACTATCAGAGAAGACAAGAAGTAATTTAGAGAAGAATCTAAGTATAGAAGAGCTCTCTGAGGCTCTACAGGACATGAATAATGCCCCTGGGCCGGATGGCATTCCGATGGAAATCTACAAAACATTTGCAGGGAAAATTCTACCACACTTACTTGAAATGTTTAATGAATCCTTGGGAAAAGGAATATTACCCCCTTCTCTGAGATCAGCACTAATTACTCTTATATTAAAACCAGGTAAACCTCCCAATGAAAAATCATCTTATAGGCTCATATCTTTAATGTCATGTGATACTAAGATTCTTTGTAAGGCCCTAGCTAAAAGAATTGAAACGTATATACCAAACCTTATCATGAACGATCAAAATGGGTTTGTGCTTGGAAGACAAGCCTTTCATAACATACGAAGAGTCTTAAATATAGTATATAAAAAAGAAAATGCCAAGGACCATGCAATTTTGTCATTGGACACGGTAAAAGCCTTCGACAGGATTGAATGGAGGTATCTTTTTGAGGTGCTTAAGAGATTTGGGCTGGGTGATGGGTATATTAAATGGATCAAATTACTTTACAATGATTCACAAGCAGAAATAAAAACAAAGAATCAAATCTCAATGCCCTTTAATCTAAGTAGAGGCACACGTCAAGGGTGCCTATTGTCCCCTTTGTTGTTTTTATTCGCAATAGAACCCCTTGCAATGGCAATTCGGAGTAGTCCAGATAATAAAGGTGAGAGAGAACACCGTTTATCTCTGTTTGCAGACGATATTGTCATTTTTCTTAGTAATCTAGAACCTTCTATTTGAGTACTTAACACTTTATTAAGAGTATTTGGAGAGTTCTCAGGGTACAAAGTTAATAATAATAAAAGTGCCTTGCTATTATTAAATGGGGATGAAAGGAGAAACTCTACAAACAATAGGAAATGTTTCAATTCTCAGGAAGGGTTCACATATTTAGGAATTAATATACAGGTACATCTAAAAAAATTAGAATATCATGAAAAGGTCACTTTTTGTCACTCATTTCAGAAAGTGAAACCCATATATTATATAGATTCATTACACAGAGTGAAATATTTCAAGCCTTTATTTCTTGAAATTTTGATGATTATGGCTTGCAGATACTGAAAACCCAAAATTCAGTGTCTCAGAAAATTAGAATATTACATAAGATCAATAAAAAAAAGGATATTTTAAACAGAAATGTCAGGCTACCGAAAAGTATGTTCATTTCTATGCACTCAATACTTGGTTGGGCCTCCTTTTGCATGAATTACTGCATCAATGCGGCGTGGCATGGAGGCAATCAGCCTGTGGCACTACTCAAGTGTAATGGAAGCCCAGGTTGCTTTAATAGCGGCCTTCAGGTCATCTGCATTGTTGGGTCTGGTGTCTCTCATCTTCCTCTTGACAATACCCCATAGATTCTCTATGGGGTTCAGGTCAGGCGAGTTTGCTGGCCAATCAAACACAGTAACACCATGGTCATTGAACCAGCTTTTGGTACCTTTGGCAGTGTGGGCAGGTGCCAAGTCCTGCTGGAAAATGAAATCAGCATCTCCATAAAGCTTGAATGCATGGATAGATATGGAAAAAAAATGGAATAACAATTCCATTACAGATGTATCTTTATTCTTCTTCAGTTAAAATACTAAAAAAATCTACACATAATCCTTTCCTTAGAAATTCTATTTGCGTATGGTATGAAGCTCATGAATTTTTAGGTG